GAAGGATGGGATTTTAATATTTAAAAAAGACTTTGCAAAAAAGCTCTGCTGATCTTTCATTTATTTATTAATTTATTTACTTATTTATTTAATATCCCTCCCCTGATCAGAGTGGGCGCATTTTGTAGCTATTAAATATCATGCAACTTTTAGCATCGCTGCTATTAAATCCAAACCTACTGTCACAGCAGGGAGTGGGATTGACACCAGCTTGGAGCCTGTCCTGTCCCCCCCAGCTACTCCACTTACCTTGTCAAGAATGGGCAGTTGTTGGCTCCTATCACCTGGCTTCTCACACCGTCACGGTTTTCCCAAAGTCTTCAAACAGCTGAAAGCTGTAAGAAAACCAAACCTGCCCAGGCTGCATCATCTGCACTGAGCAGTGCTGCTGCCAGGGTCTGGCATGACCTTTGCTGATGTCCTAGGAAGGCTTAGTCTCTCTCCCCTAAGGTTAATTTTTGACATGTCAGCCCAACTCTCACCATTCTCAGCTGTGTCTCAGTCCACTGTTTGGGTCAGGAAATGGGAAGGTCCAGTCCTGCTGCTCCTGTTCCTTTGGTGCATTGAAGCAAAGGGAGGGGAGTGATGGAGAACTGACAGCAAGGCTGGCACTGCAGCTGTGAGGTGCTGTGTCTGACCCTAACAACCATGAGGCCTGGTGGGATACTGCCACTCTCCCAGGTTCCCTGTAGTGCTGCATCTGTGGTCAAATAACCTTGACCACTGGTTAGTATCAGAAGGCCATGACTGGGAAGGAATATCCCTGTGTTACAGAGCCTGCAGCGCAGAAGGGCTCGCTGGCTTGCCCTGGAGCAGGCAGAAAATCTGAGAGCCAGGAGCAGGATCACTCCTCCCCATCTTTCTCCATATTCCAACTCTACCTGCACCTCTTCAAGACAGTGCAGCTCTCCCCCCAGCCCAGCAGCAGTGAGAGGAGGTATTTGGGGATGCTCATCCCCCCTCCATCTGGGCTCACCCATAGCCTAGGGCTGCCCAGACAGTAGCCAGCATCAGCCACCCTTGACAACTCACCCCACCTGTGCTGGGAGAGGCAGGGGAAGGGAAAAGGCACTTGGTGAGCTCTGGGGAAGGAAAGGCCTCTTTGCCCTTAAGGAGCTGGGAAGAATCCTGGGGGCTTGTGGTAGGGTGCAAAGCAACACCATGTCCAACACCAGAGCATATCTTTTGCTCCCTAGGCACCCACCTTCATTGCAGCTTCATGCTCTTTCTCTCTTCTCTTTCTCTTCCTCCTGCTGTGTTACAGCAATGTCTAGTAATCTAGTAATGCAATGATCCCAAAAGAGCCAGGAGACACAAAGCCAGAACAAAAGGCTCTACATTCAGAGGTGTGACTTTAGGAGAGGTGTGAAGTTTGCAATACCTGCCCCTACTCTGCTGCTTTCAAGAGCTGTGCAGCAATACTTGACAGGTCTCTGCCCCTGTTTGCTACTTATACATGCACATGGATGAAAAGGGTTGATCAGTAGAGGAGGCTCACAAACAGTTTGAGCGAAGGGAAGCTTCAGGCAACGTTGCAAACAAGACAGTGCTCTGACACACACAGTCCCCCAGCTGTGCATTAATAAATCATATTTTACAGCTTTTAGCACATAAACCGGTGAGCGTGCACAGAGCCCCAGCGAGCACACAACACCTGGTAACATTCCTGCCTCTCCCCTCCAACCAACTGCAAATTAATGACTGATCGCCCAAGGTTTTCTAAAAGGATTTTCCACCAACAGGGCTGGAGCTTTGCAAGGGACAAGCCAAAGCCAGATAGGAATTGTACCTTCACCACCTGGGTGGTTGAATCCTGCTGTACCACTGGTGGCACCCAGGATCTCTGCACTGCCTGGGGGGCGGTGAATGGCAGGACAAACCGGTGAGCGTGCACAGAGCCCCAGCGAGCACACAACACCTGCCTCTCCCCTCCAACCAACTGCAAATTAATGACTGATCGCCCAAGGTTTTCTAAAAGGATTTTCCACCAACAGGGCTGGAGCTTTGCAAGGGACAAGCCAAAGCCAGATAGGAATTGTACCTTCACCACCTGGGTGGTTGAATCCTGCTGTACCACTGGTGGCACCCAGGATCTCTGCACTGCCTGGGGGGCGGTGAATGGCAGGACCCTGTGCTGGGCTGCCGAGCCCCAGGTAGCTTGGGATGGAAGGAGCAATCACTGTGAAATCCAGCATCACAGTTACTTCATGCTGCTCAGTCACAGCTGAGACAAGCAGTATAATGATGGTGGCAGAGACAGGAGCTGCTGCCATGCCAGGGTACAGCCATATGCTTGGGGCTTCATCCTGAATGTGGTGTCAGAGCTGGAAACTGGGAGCCTCCACTGCTCTCACCCATGCCTGACTGCAAGCCTGCGTCCAACAGATGTCCTGGGTGGCTTTGCAATGGTCACACTTCCACATGAATGTTTCCAGGCCTCCATCAGTGAGCCTTGGAGCAGCCAAGCTTCCCAAAAGCCCAACTTCCTGTTGTGCCCAAGCCTACTTGTAGTGCCAGTGTTACACCATGTGCAGGACAGGGATGCTGCTGGCTAAAGCAGGACCCCAGCAGCTTCCCAAGCCACAAGCAGGGCCAGGTGCTGCACCATGCCAGTACATCTGGCCAAGCACCCATCCTCACATTACGCCTCTTCCAGCCATGCTGCCATATCCAACTTAGATGAACAAATCAGTCTTGTTGGGAGGATGGGATGCAGAGCAGTAATTCATCTATGTCTCTCCTCCCTACCAAAGATGTCTCAGAAGACTACTGTGTTTTCTACCCCAACTTATTATCCTTTCACTCTTGGGAGGCAACTATCCAACGGGCAGAACGTGTTTTCCCTTGTCACTCTCCAGCATCGCTTCTCGCCTCACCCGTGTTTTGCTAAGATAGAGGGTTTATTGTAAACTTATTAATTACTTCATTTCTCCTGCGAGGAGCCAGGAGAAAAACTCTCAGAGGCAGCCAGGATCCACTATTGTGCTGGCGGAGGAGCTGAACGTGGCTGACGTCATGATTCATTTTCCCCATGACTGAGGAAGGCGACTCTCAGAGCCACGTCGCGCATATGAATCAGGCAGCGCTCCCCTGGCACAGCACGCCAGACAATTCATCTTCCACTAGGACTTCTTCGAGCAGAAAACACCAAACTTTTGCTATTGCACTTCCCTGCAAACCCTGCGGCAAAGAGGGCTGGGGAGATGGGGGCTTGCAGCCTCCCCTGGGCACACGTTTGTCCCTGCACTTCTCATCAGATGGGTCTATAGCAGCTGTTCCCATGCCTGTAGACACATCAATAGGTCCCAGAGTGACTCCAGCATGCCTGGCCAATCCTGCAGCTAACTTTCTAGCCTCCCTGCTGCTCCCTTCTCTCCAAGCTTTGGAAGTTTGTTCCTGCTGCTATCAAGCAGACATCCAT